CATGCTAGGGTTTGCAAAGCGGAAGTTTGTGCACGGGGTGTTCATCCCGACGTTGAAGAAGAAGTACAAGGTGACAGCACACGTCATTGAGAACATTGGGGATTCCATCGATTTCCTCAAGAGAAAGCACACTTTGATCAACAACGATCAACTCTTGTTAACTCCGAGCCCAAAGCACTTCGACAAGCTGTTTGACCTTTTGTGTGTGAGTGAGAATACCTCGTGTAAGAAGTCCCCCTACATGCCACAGTTGGACGAGATCGATAACAGTCCTGAGTTGAAGAGTGGCGAGGCAACAACGTTCAGGAGCGGAATCGGATTGTTGCTTTACCTGTCAGTCGATCTTCCTGAATGTCAGTGCGCCATTCGTGCTCTCGCTTCGAGGATGGCACGGCCAACAGTTCATTCCATGCTAGCGCTAAGGCACTTGGCAAAGTACCTCATCGGTGTGAGGTACAACGGTTTGATGATTGTGAAGACTGATCCCGGTGAAGGGTTGATGGGTCCAAGGACCGATGCAGCAGATCAATCGATTATCCTCGAGAGCTTCAGCGATTCGAACTGGGCCGCTTGTAAAGGGTCTAGAAAGAGCGTTAGCGCAAGTGTCATTTGTGTCGCCGGCAACATGTTGTTCAGCTCTTCGAGAACGCAGAGAGTGGTGGCACTTTCGTCAGGAGAAGCGGAACTTCTTTCGTCCGCGAGCAGCATATGTGATGCACTTTTGATTCGTGAGCTCCTTGAGTTCATGGACTTCGGCAGGGTGAAGATCTTTCACCACATCGATGCCAGTGCAGCTAAGGCGATGCTGGAACGTTCCGGAGTGGGAAAAGTTCGGCATCTTTCTTGCCGAATTTTATGGTGCCAACAATTGATCAAATCCGGCGAGGTTGCTTTGCTGAAGATCAGTACTACATTCAATCCGAGCGACCTTGGAACGAAAGGGCTAAGCCGGGCAAGAACACTCATGCTGATGTGCATTTTGCGTGTTTGGGACGAGATGTGTGAGTGCTTCGTTGGTTCCCAAGAACTTCGAGAGGAGAGAGAGAAGCAGAGTTTCAAGCAGAACATGAAAGTGATTCGCAACATTCGTGTGCCGATCATGATCTCAAAGAGTGCTTTGCGTGCAATGGTTTCGGCCAGTTTGATTTCGGGTGCAAGCGCCTTGGGCTTTGGCGGCGGGTTTGAGATGTTCGCGATGCTGTATGCCCTGATGTTTGAAGAGTTCCCGATGATGACGCTCATGATGCTCTACCTCTTCACGCTGGCGGTGATCGGAACGATCTTGTGCATGCGTCCTCAGTCGACTGTGATTGTGAAGGGCTTTGATAGATCTTTGTGCAGCGGTGAACGCGCCATTGACATTTCAAGCCGAACGAGTTCGAAGGATTCAGCTTCCAGCTCAGTCACCGGTGAGGAAGTGATTATCAAGCAGAGGCGCAATCGCAAGGTCAAAGAGCCAGTGGACCCAGTATGGATTGCGGGGGAGTATGGGAAGAAGTATCACATGATTGGGTGTGGCAAGTTGAATGGTTCCTTGGAGGTGAGTGAGATGTCCGAGGAAGATGCAATCGCGAAGAATTTGAAGCCATGCTCATTTTGCAATCCCCGCAAAGTTTATCATCCTGAAGAGTTTGTTTCGAAGTCATCCTGAAGAGTTTGTTTCGAAGTCAAATACGAAGTGAATGTGAGCCCATTGCGTGCATCAAGCTTTACGGTGCACAGGGGTATGGATGTGAGCCCATTGCGTGCATCAAGCTTTTTACGGTGCACAGGGGTATGGATGTGAGCCCATTGCGTGCTTCAAGCTTTACGTTGCACAGGGGCATGACCGGCATTTTGTCGTTAAAATTAGCCTTGTACATTGTGGTACATAGACGGCTGACTGTACTTAGCATGTGGAGCATGCGACACTTGAGTACGTAGTTTTCTTTTCACCGGAGCGTCGTTACACACTCGAGTTTCTGCACTACGATACCGAGCCCAATACTTTTCAGTACAGGTGGCTTTGGAAGTCACAAAGTTTCGAGGAAGAATCGCCAAGTACGTGGCATTCTTAGGCGGGGTGCAAAACTTTGCGTCCGTATGTATCAGTATATTTTGGCCGGTACTTTTGTAAGTACTTTTGCTTTACGCTTTGAGCTCCGTTGTACAGTGCTGACGCACGACTTTGCAGGCGCTTTTGTCCGAGCGAAAATTGTCATGGACGGCGACCTGAGGATGTCGACCTGACAGCCCGCGCCGACAGCTCAGTTGCCCGAGCCATTGCGTCGCGCAGCGGGATCGGGAAGGTCAAGCACTTCCACCACCTCGGTTCCAAGGTGCTCACGGCACGCCGGATGGCCCTCTTGCTGTTCATCCTCGGGATGGTTGGCGACAATGGCCAGAGGATTGGAGAAGAGGAGCACCAAGAGCGGCGAGCGCGACGAGGAGGCCCGAGTGCAAATGTGATTCGGCTGGCCCAGATGGTGCTGGCTATGCAGCTCCGAGGGTGCGCCGCTGTGGCAGGCAGCGGGCAGGCCACGAACGACTTCGTCGAGCAGTTCTTTCTGAAGTTGCTGTTCGCTCTTGAGGTGCTCAACGGTGTCCTGGTGCAGTACCCTGCCGCGCTTGGTCTGGTTGCTGTGTTAGTTGTGGCGGTCGGGCTGTGTTATGGAGTGTGGGGCAAGCCTTTTGTGATCAAGGTCGAGGTGACACGGCATTCAGGGCTTGAGTCGGCTACGGTGATGTCGTGTGGATCCCGACCCAAGGCCAAGGCACAGACCGCGTACCGCCGAGGACCAGCAAGCAGCCCACGAGGACCAGAAAACAAGCAGGCAGCCCACGAGGACCAGGCAATGGACCACAACGAGAAGCAGATCACGAACCACATCGAGGAGCAGATCGCAAACCACATCGAGCAGATCACGGACCACATCGAGCAGATCACGGACCACATCGAGCAGATCACGGACCACATCGAGCAGATCATGGACCACAGAGGCCAGAGCGGAGGCATAGTCGTGAGGCCGGGCGAGAGGAGCCAAGAAGTTCCACAGCCGCCGGAAGGTCAGATCCGATGGCACAGCATGGCGAAGGGTCTCTCCAGTTCCTGGGCACAGGTGCAGACCGTGTGCGACCGGCTGAAGAGGCAGTGACCACAGCTCCCCGTCGACCCAGAGGACGACTTGTGTTGGCCAAGGGCGCTCGACAGGACCCTTTGGACCCCAACGGCGAGGCTCTGGTGATGTGGCACTTTGACAATGTGGTGTATGCACCCTCGAGGGGATATGCGTTTCACCTGCCTTCGTGCAAGAATGTGCAAGAAGGAAGTGCCAAGACAGTGCGGCGCTGTACCTTGCAGGAAGCGGTTGATCGCGGATTGCAGTGCGGACAGTGCTGCACCGCCGGCCGCTTGGAAATGGTCGAAAATCGGCCGTAGAAATCCATGCCTGAGGGGGCGTGTAAAGCCATTCGGAAGCCTCTCAGTGCATGCAGCAGACATGGGTCCCAGCATGTCTTAGTGTTTTTCAGTTAGGCTCAAATGGTTTGAACCCATAAGGCCAAAGACTTTCATCCTGGCGATATCGGACCAAAATAGGGGTTTCAACCCTCGGGCTTATGGTCGCTTAGACCGCAGCTACGCGGGCTTCCGCTTTCGCTTCCTTCTCTTGCAAGCGCAGGCGGCGCATACGATCTTCCAAGGTCTGGCAGGGACTCTTTACAATGACTTTCCGTTCGCGTTTGTTCGTGGGTTTTTGCCTAGTGTTTTGCATTTTTACGTTTTTTTGCATTTGTTTGTACGTTTTTTTCGGACGTTTTTGTTTTTTTTTTGTTTCCGGGGTTTTGTGCGATGTTGTTCAAGTCTTGTTTATTTTCTTTGTGCATCTGCTTGTGCGTTGTTCGTGTGACGTTACATTCTTTGCGAGTTTTTTCGGTTTTTTTGCGCGTTTGGCGTTGGCTATCACTTTTTGTGTCGTTTCATATTTTGTGTTTTTTCTGCGTTTTGTTGATGTCCACAATCCCAGGAAGACATGGCAAAAACGAATGCGATGTTGCGTGCTCGAGCAGTGCAAACGCATGCCCATGTAAAGCCAAACAGTGCCTGGGAATGAATTGGCCAAAAGGGAAGGCCCTTTCCAGGTCAGGCACCGAAAGATTTAATGGGAAAGACCACGTTGTCCATGAACCGTCAAGACCTCAGAGCCGAGCAGACGGAAAGGTTGATTGATCTTGCCCGTTTTGTCCCAACCGGAAATCCTGCTCCAGAGTTTCCTCTCGGTGATCAGGCGTTTTCTTCGTTCACGGCACTACTTATGAGCAGGAATGAACAACTCAAGGCGAAGGCGACCCGAGATCAAGTAGCACAAACCGGCTGTGAATCAACTTTGTCGCTTGTCGTAACGAGAAGTGGTATAGCACGTTTTTCTGTTTAAATAGGTTGCCGGACGAGACCATTTATATTCGTGAATGCCGGGCAAGCTATGCACTCCTCGTTGGTGAACGGCCAAGGGCGCATCATTAATGGATACGATGGCCGCGGTTTTCGATGCAGCACAGAAATCTCATGCCGCCAGTTATGTCAATGATGTGAGCGTGTACATGCCACGATGTTTGTCAAGGTCTTTGTTTTATGTCGCGGAATATAATTTTGAATGCTAACGGTGACATTTTCCTTTTTGGTCATCCCAACAAAGAAAAGGGTCAAACGATAAAGATACGGCTTGCTGGTATCGACGGTTCTGGGGTAATTGTGAATTCGAGAGCAAGAGGTTTTGTCAACTGTCACGCGAGGTTTTGTGACATTGGTGGCGAAACACAACAGCCAGCTAGACTAGTGCTAGACGGCCTCCAGAGCATGTTGAGCGGTCGAGAACCTTATAGCTCAAGGCTGGACAAGCCAGCTTTGTTCGTGGGGGCGGATGCAGCGTCCCTGCGATGCTTCTGGGAAAGGCTCGTCGGATTTCAGGCAGTCTGCCCCGTCTACACGTCTGGCCGGGCTTGCAGGGGGGAGGAGGTGACCCATGGCAGTGGCCCATTTCTTGGTGAGGCATGGTGGAGGAAAAGACTTCCAGGCCCGTCATTTTTCTTCTGTGTTTTCGAAGGTTTCTATGGCTCCTTGCGCTGGTCTGGGCCCTCAAAGCTCTGGCCTTTGGGCTTTCTCGTTTGATTTCGCGTACAAGAGGCCAATGCTTTGCCTTCATCGGTGGTGGTCCACGGGCGCTGTGCCCTCAGTCTTAAGGGACCGCTCAGCTTCAGCTCTTGCACTATTGACAGACTTGCAATGCTTGAAGATCTAAGCAGCTAAGCAAATCTTTTGTGACCTTCATCTCCCTGCTCTAAGTCAGCCCTTGACTTCCTGACAGTTCCTCATGTTGCTGTGGTGGTGATGACGATATGACGACGATGTGGTCAGCTGAGGCCAGGGCCGCAACAGCAACATCAATGGCCGGCTCTGACAAGAGTGAAGCCAAGCAGCTCCTTGCTTGATCCCTGAACAGGTGTGTACATAAGAGACTACGCATGGCGTCACAGCTGGAGACTTATTTCGCCGACAGGCGCCTGTTCAAAAAGACATTTTTGAACAGGCCTGTGCTGGAGACGTGCTGGTCATGCTGGCAGCGGTGGTCAGGTGTTCCTCTACTTCGAGGGTGCCTGGGCAGCACTTTCGACCTGCGCAAGCGTGCATAGCGCTCCCACACAGAGGAGAATGGCGCATGGGGCCTTCACCGGAAGATGGCAGTGTCTGGCCCTCGACGTATTGTCGCGCTGTGCTTCATGAGCCTGCGGCGGCCTTCGCGCTTGAGGTTTGGGCTTTTGCTCGCAGCCTTGCCTCATCACCTTTGCTTATTGACCAACCTTGGCAGGACAGGCTTTAGGTGGTGCCTTACAAGCACAGCAATGAAGTGCCAAAGTGCGGTGGCCTCCGGGCCTCCAGGTGTGGGATGGCCAGCGCGTCGTCCAAGATCCACGGCTGCGAGTCAGCGACACGTCCTTGGTCCCACAGGCCCGGGCCCCGGGCCTCCCTTGGCCAGGTGCTCCCCATGCAAGCAGTGCGAGAGAGGTCCTTCTCTTGTCCTTCGGGGAGGGCAGCCCGCTGGCCCGGGCCCGGCAGTCGCAGTGCCCTGCAAAGACTCAGCCGGCTCAGCGCTCAGGAGCTGGGTCCACTGCAGGGGATGCTAATGCAGCAACCCGGCTTGCCAACGGCTCGGATCGTGCAGCATGGAGTCGGAGTCGGGTGCCTCAATGGAAGCTTCGAGGTGGGACGGCAGACCCTACTACAAGCACATGCAGCAGGCTCCACAACAACGCGCGCCTGCGGGGGCGAAGCGGGGGGTTGAAGGTTGGCTCTGCTCTGAGGAGCTCTTCCTGCTCTGCTCTCTGGCCGAGGGCTGGCGCCTGGGACCGCTGCCTCTCGGAGAGACTGCAAGGCGAGAAGCGGCGAGAAGCGGCGAGGGCGAGGGCTCCGCATCTCCGCGGAGTGTGCACTGCAGGCCCCTGCTTTTCTCGCGCAGCAGGGACCTCGGCGCCTCCTCGGCCCATTCTCGAGGATCTTTTAATTTTTTTTTACTGGCTTTGCTGGAGGCGCTGCCGCCCTGCCACAGGAGATCGCCGCAGCCTCTAGGACTCTAGGAGTCTAGGCCTGACAGTGCTCGAGTTGTTTTCGTTTGAGGTGGAGAGTTGGAGGGTCCCAAGCGTTGGGCCCGGAGGTGGTGTGCGGCAGCGTTTAGGTTTAGACTTTGAAGATCTGAAACCGTGGGCAGGTGCCGACGAGCTCCCAGCAGCTTCTGTGAGGCGAGATGGCCGAGGCAAGAGAATCTAATGAGGCAGGGCTGGAGCGACAGGCTGGCTGCGATGGATTTTGGGCCACCACAGAGGCATCAGCCGAGGCATCAGCCGAGGCCACGGGGCCACGGGGAGGGCAGAAAAAAGGGGGAGCTTTCGGTGTGTTTCGGCCTCCTGGTGGGCCACGGGTTCCGAGGCATCTGGTCGTGGAAGGCGTCTCCGCCGGCAACGGATCCGCCAACGGAGTGTGCCCGCGGAGAACCAGAGCAGCGGATCCGCCAACAAAGCAGCGCATAGCAGCTGCCAGCTGCCTCGAAACTCGAATTCGGATTCGCTGCAGCGCAGGTACAGGCTCGCCTCGGAGAGCTGGAACTTGAAGCCCCTGCCGCTCGGCACGAAAGAACGCCTTAGAGGCAAGGCGTGATTTCTTCGCGGTGCGCTAAACGAGGTATCACAAGACAGATGCCATTCGTACAGCATCGCCGCGGCCCCAGCTGCCTGGATTGCCCGGAGCGGCTTCGGCCTCGTGGCATCCTTTCAAAGGCTTTGGTATGCTGCCGGCGATTGGCGCATCGGACCGTCCGTCGAAGATGGAAGGGTTTGGGTCAGACGCCCGTTTTCAATTCAAGATACGCTCAGAACGACTCGACTTCGCCCCTCCCAATCAAGGTCTATGCCACTGCGGAGTCAGCTTCGAGTGTTGACGCGAGATGGTTTTCTTTTGCTGGCCTTGTCGAGGATTTCCAGCATCGGGTAGAATGCCGTGCAGCGTCACTCGTGTGCTTTTGCTCGTGTCTTCTTGGTGCAGGATGTCCGTGTGGTTGACGCGGCAACCGCCCTTGCCTCATCCGTCCATTGTCGCGAGAGTCTCAGGATCAGGCCACTTCGCCCGAGGCAATTCCTACCAGCGTCAGCATCGGTGGGACAGATTTTGCCACGCACTCGGAGCAGAAGTTTTCTGACGTGATCGAGTTCTTCATAGCTCAGGTGCAGGAGTCGCGCCTTTGCGATGCCCGTCCAGTTTATGTCGCGACGGGCCTCGAGGAGCCTGGGCTGTGGGTGCATGTGGGCTGCTGACCATGTTTGACGTGGCCGTCGGTGCCTTACGGAGGAGGTCAACAGATCGGAGGACGGCTCGGGCTCGGGCGCTGCCATGAAGGTGAGTTGCCTTCGCCTTGAGAGTCGTTTTGTTTTTGCACATGTCCAAGTGAGGTTTACTTGTATTTCCGTGCGCAAGAGTCCGAGTGGTGGTTGGGCCCAGAGGCCGGGGAGCTCGGCAGAGCGTTTTTGAGCGCTTGGCTTCCGAGTTTCTGAGAGGTTGGAGGCACGGACTGCCTGGCTCGGGCCACGGGGCCCGGACTCCCGGAGCATGCGCGGCGGGACTTGAGGTCCTGCTGCTCTGTTTCAAAACAAGGTCGCTCCTCTCCGTGGTGCCCACCACCGCCTTGCAATGGCGCATGGAGCCGCAGCAGGGCACCGCCGCAACAGCTGGGAGCGCTTCCGTCCCGGCCGGCGGCACGGCCCGTGAAGGCCGCGGGCGCTCCACGCTCCACGCTTCCTTTTTTTTTCTGCCCTTCTTCCGCCGTGGTTTGCCAGCGGACGTCCTTTTCCAGGTTTGGAGCTTGGGAGCGGCGAGGATCTGCTCGGGATCCCAAAGCTCTGAGCCCTCGCCAACCCCCCTTGCGGTGTTTCTGGAGCCGAGGCCGCCAATGAAAGCACCGAAAGCGGTGCCGACTTGGCTTCCTCTGGCCCTCTGCCAAGCAGCGATGGGCAGCGACGGCGATGGGCAACGGCTGCGCCTGAGCTGAGGTTTGTTCTCTTGCGACAGCCGCCGTTTGGTTGCTCTTGCTCCGACCGCCAAGCCACTTGTCGCAAAGACTGCACGAGATCCTGAAAAAAGTGCCGGGGCCTGGATTCGAAGGCGAAGCCTCGGCTTCCACGAAAGAGAAGAAGTGCGGGGCTCGGGGGGCGGAGGGGCGGAGGGGCGGAGGCGGAAGCAGAGCAGGCCAGGAGCCCACAGAGGCGGACGCCCCGAGTCGCGAGTCGCCCAGGCCGCGAGAGGCGCTCCCGCTCGCCTGCGTCGTCTGCCTCGAGGCCGTGGCCGGCGCAGAGCCAAACGGCCAATGCTACAACGACACTGCAGACGCAGACAGACGCAGAGAGACACACACACACACACACACACACAGAAAATTATGTATGTATGCATGTATGTATGTATGTATGTATATATATATATATATATATATATATATATATATTTTTTTATATGTGATTTGTCACTGACATGCGTATATGTGCTTCTGCCTTCTGGTTAGGAATCAGACCAACTTTGTCTCACTACGCAGCTTGACTGCTCAAGGACCGCATGCGCGAGTCCCAGCAAAAGATCCGCTAGAGCCTGGGGGTTCTGGTGTTGTCTTTCCGCTGAGCGTCAATCTTACGGTTTTAATCTCTGATCGTCCTGCTTTGCACCGCTTGCTTTGCTTTGATCTGCGATCGGCTGCCTTGGGCTTTGTGACCGAGAGTTGAGTGGAATCCTCCGCTTTTCACAGGTTATCAGCCGTAGGGCCTCCGCATCCGATTGTGGATTGCTGCTTCGCTGCTGCTGCTCGGCACTCGGACCGCCTGATCCAATCAGTGTCTGATCACTACCGTTTTCCTGGCTCAGACCAAGTTCGGAACTTGTGATTGGCCACGCCACCGAGAGAATGGCGACTCCGATCGGTTCTCCCCGTGTCCCCTCGACTGTCGGTTCTTCACTAGTGACGCCAGTTGCTCGAGATGTCGTGGAGCCCGATGATAGTGCCCACGCATCTCGCTGCACTGCACCCGCCTCGCACGCTTCGCTCGCTCGCTCTGCTTCGCTGCTTGCTTCGCCGCCTGCTGAGGACGATCAGAGAGCTCAGCACCATGCGCCGCTTTTGCCATGCTCTGCTGCCGCTTTCGCAACGCCTGGCACGATGCACGCCGGCATGCTGCCTGCTTCTGCCACCGCTCGTGCTTTGCCTTTGTTGCCTGCCTTTTCTGCGTCTGCTGCTCCTGCTGCTTCCGCACCTGCCCTTCTTCCGACCGATTCTTTGTCTTGTCCTCTGTCCCTTCGCGGGGATCCAGAGGGCGCTCGGGCCCTCTTTGGGTCCGGGCCGGACGGCCGGTCCACCGATTTCGGACCCGGCGTCCTTTCGTCCACCGCGCCCCGATTCTTATGGGCCGGTGGCAGGCCGCGGTGGAGCCTCGCTCCCCGACGAGCCCATGAGCGAGCACCCGGGTGCACCCCATGCTTCCGTCGCAACGATTACCGCGGCGGATCATGGTGGTGCTGCCCCCGCCACCGATAACGGCGGGAGGCTTCCCGGTCCCTGCGCTGTCAGGGCCCTGGTCGATGAAGCCATTGGGTCGGAAGCATCCGCGCGTATCGCCACCGATATTCTGGCGATCGCGCAGGGTGTGACCATAGCCGACCTCGATATTCTGAGGAACGGCGTCTCGGACATTGCTGAAGCACTTGAAGACAAGATCCGAGAAATGTGGGAGCTTCTACAGGCCGAGATGAGGAAGGAGCGTGAACTACACACGATCTTTCAGGACTCCGTCCGCGATAGGCGGATTTCGGACCATGAAACTCTTGAAGAGCATTTTGCGAGGCTCAACTCGATGGTCAACGATCGATTCATTGAGTTTGATGAGCGGATTCACCGATTCAACGAAAAGCGTGCTGGATCGATATCCATGCAGCTTGCTGAGACGATCCGCCACATCAAGCAGTACCCTGATGCGCTGCAGCAAATTCAGATCAATATCTCAAATGCTGAGGCGCGCATCGCTACGGTTGAGCAGAATGCTACACACCGTATCGAGGTCATTAGAACCGAAATGAGCCGTGCTCTCTACGATCATAAGGAGAGTAACCGGGTTCTCATCGATCAGCTCACTGCTCGCATTCAGCATCTTGAGAGTGCTCATGTCCGCAGGGGTGGTTCTGACATGTCGACGCCTTCGCGTCCGGAACGGACGCAGTTCTTCGACATCAGTGACCATGATGGGGATATCCCACGTCCCGCGGACATGCCGCCAGTTCCTGGTGCTCTATTCCCTGGCGGACCGACTACAGCCATTCCGAGATCTTCTTTGTTGGGTCCGATTGATCATGGCTCTCCGCCGGGATGCAATGCTGCGCCTGCTGAAAAGGCCTCAACGGTGCACTCTCAGACGAGTGGCATCAATCTTGACGATATTCTGAGGCGCGCGCAGCAACGAGTCGCTGATGATCATCCTCCTGAAAGTCGCGGGCAAAATAATCCTGTTGAGCCCGTCCGACAAAATTATGGCCAAACGTCTGCCTCTTTTTCAGGAAGATCTCCGATTCCGACCGTTCCGTCCACAAATGCCGCCGTAGCGACATCCGGCCAAGCTCCGAGTGTCAGACCCTTCCCTGTCGATGATGACCTGGCCATTCGCAGTGGCGCCCGCTATGACCCTGAAACCCAGATATGCTCCAGAGCCCAAGCGGAGCCCTACATTTCCATGCCAGATTTCGTATGATACACGAACTGTTCCGGCAGGAAAGGGACCTTCAAGATGGTATGATGCAATGCTTGGCCGATCCAATCTCATTGGCAGCGGTTCTGGTGCACCTGTTCTCCATAGCGAGACTGGTACCTTCACGCTAGCACCGAACGCAAGCGTCACTGGAACACTTCGACCTGCTGCCACTGATGACGTCGATGGATGGACTATGCCTCCGATGCCCACCTTTAATGCTAGAACATCCGCCCCTGCACCCAGTGCTGCGCCATCCGGATTAGGCGGACCGCCGCCCGCGCATGGCGATGACGGTGGTTCTTTCGGTGGTGGTGGCCCCAACGATAACGGGGGTGCATATGGTGGAGGTTTTGGTGGACATGGACACCATGGGTCCGGTTTGGGCCCTGGTGGCGGTGGTGGACCACCCAGTGGCCCGCCCGGCGGCCCGCCTGGTGGTGGTGGCCCTCCTGACGGGAATGGCCCGCCTGATGACTTGATCCGCCTAGCGGCCTAGCATCAGGCCCTCCGGCCGGCCAAGCGGGAATGATACTTTCCAGTGCGAGCGCTGCACCGGAACTTTCCCGACCACCGTGCGGCGATCGTGCATATCTTGCCGATTCTCGTGTTGCAACGGATGTTGCCGAGATCCTTTGAGAATCTGTCTCGTGTGTCTTGAGAGACAGACTGGGAACCCGCCCGGTCCCAACGATACGGGATTCGGTGGACCCAAAGGCGATGGATCGCTGAGCGAGGCCAAGAAGGCGAAGTGCAAGTCCTTCCGACTCGATCCCGAGCCGGAGCCCGCTCAGCTGCGGCGCTGGATCGTCGACATGAAGGAGCGAGTTGCAAATGCATTCGCGTACGATCCCGGATACGCACTCTCGTGGGTTGAGATTCCCGATGGTACACGATATGAAGACCTTCTTGATGAGTGCAAGTACGGAATGCTTGAGAATGAATGCAACTCTGCATTCCGCGAGTGCGTCAAATCCATTGCACTAAAGAATAAGATCCAGACCGAAACCGAGCGCATGCATACGATAAATCGGCGACTCGGCAGTAGGCAGATCTTGTGGTTGTTGTATGATTTCCTTCGACCACATGTCACTGGCGATTCGACCTTCAAGCTCGTCGATCTGATGAAGACCACGATTGATCGGTTTACTCATGGATCCGAGCAGGAGAGGCTAGAAGCCTTCTCCAATCGGTGGGACCATGTTCTCGCTGGTATCTCAGTCGATCGTCCCGAAGATCCTGTTCTCTGCGCACTCTTCTATGAGCAGGTACGTGAGTTCCGCTGTCTCGAGCTCGATATGCAATTGTGGGACAGGGACGTGTCTGTCCGGAACTACGCGTATTTGCGGACTGTCTGCGTCAATGCGATTACAACTTGGCGCCGGCGTCGCAACCAGGAGAAGATGTACACCGCTACTCGATCCACCTCTGCGCAAAGACGGTATGCTGCACCTGCACATGGTAGCCCACGCAGATCCTTCTCAAGAAGCAAGAGGGGATCTAGATCTCCTGGACGCCGAGACTCAAGAAGAGGGAGTCCATACCGAAGGAGCTCGCGGAGGCGCTCGTCGCCCAGACGATCCTCCCCGAGGCGCGGTTCGCCGAGGCGATACTCGCCGCGCAGTCCGGGAAGGGCCGCTCCTGACCCTACGCGCCCTGCATCACGATCTCCACGAGGGCGAGAAATCTGCTACGATTTCAAGAACGGCAGATGTACGCGAGGAAGCGGTTGTAAGTTCTCTCACAACCTCAAGGGCAGAAGCTCCTCGCCGAAAGGATTCCCGCCCCGATCCCAGTCACCGATATCAAAGGAGTCTGGCATATGCTTCTACTATGCCCGTGGAACTTGCACGCGAGGTGATAAGTGTCCGTATAAGCATGTGAAGCCTGGTGCTCCTGCCGAGAGCACTTCTGTTGCCGCCCCTGCGCCTGCTGAGCCAGCGCCGACATGAAGGCGGGTTGACAGCCCGGCGCCAACGCCCTCGGATTTTTGAGAGGGGCGTGCCGCAACCCTCAGGCAATGACAGCATCCTCCTTTGGAGACTTTGCGTTCGCTTGTGCAGCATCATTCGATATGGCATGTCCGTCAGTCAAGCGGAAGACAGTGTCGTTTGGGAACACTGAGACCCGCGTGATAGAGTCTTCTTTCCCGGAGCCGGCTTTCGGCCCCGTCAATCGCGAGAGGAATTTGAGCTATTCGTGGCCGGAAAATATCCGTGGTCTGAATAGTGCTCGCGAGAGGCGAAGGGCCCATATGAAGGCTGTGCTGTGGCGAGAGCAGGTTTTGCTCGATGACATTGATGCCAAAACGTTAGGAAATGATGCTTGTGTTCTTGAGCTCACGCTCTCTCAGCGGAGCGCTTGCGAAGTCTTTGCTGCTGCTGTCAAGTCTATTAAGAGGGTACGGAGACTCATGCTTGACTCCGGTTGCGGTATAGACCTTATTGGTCTCGGTGATTTATCCCGTGATGAAAGGGATCTGATCGTCCAGAATGCAAAGATCAGCCTTCGGACCGCCAACGGGAAGACCAACACCAAGGGTGTTGCGCATATGCGCATCGATGGTATCGATGAGCTGATTGAAGCTTATGTGTTGGAAAGCACGCCAAGTCTCCTCTCCCTTGGGAAACGATGTAAGGAGCTTGGTTATCGATTCATTTGGGAGCCCTCTTGCGATCCGATATTCTTTGATCCGAAAGGGAAACGCCTCAAGGTCGACGTGATCAATAATATTAATATTCCATACCTTGCTCCAAGTGAGACAGAGGTAGTGGCCGGCCGACCTGATCTCCCTCGTGTGTATCCGGCTCTCCCAGCACCGATTATCGTCCACGAAAAGGTCGTTGCAGCTGGTGAAGAGCCTGGGAGCGAATTAGACGCTGTCGGAGAACTTGATCTCGATATGCCCAACGCCAAGAGCGTTCAGAAGAGTGCACCTGACGATAACAAGAAGGTGCCCGATAAGGGTAAGCCTCAGTCGCCGCCTAATGAACCTAGAGCGCGCGATCTGAGAGACGAGGCAAAGTCAATCCGTCATCTCATGACCCATCTCCCAAAGAACCCCTATTGCGATGCCTGCCAACGTGCAAAGATGGAAAATGTCAAATCCTTTCGCCAAGACTCACCGCGCGATAAAGGGTTTGAGAAGTTTGGCGAACACGTTACCATCGACACAATGGTGTTGCATGGGCTCGGCAATCGCGGGAATAATGGGGAGACGGATGCTGTCGTCTTCTACGATCTAGCAACCGAGTGGCTGGAGAGCGTTCCCGTCAAGGGAAGAACGAATGCCGACGCGCTTCGAGCATTTCAGCAGGTCTTTGGCGATCTTCGAGATGTGAACTCGTTCTCCATGGACGTGGAAAGGAGGTATGCACCTTCTGCGATTCGGGAAATCTACTGCGATAAAGCCCGTGAGTTCATATCGACCTGCAAGAAAGTCGGCATATCTGTGAAGCACTCCACCCCGGGAATGCCACGAACTAATGCCATTGCCGAGAGCAAGGTGAAGCTTGTCCTTCATGGCGCACGAGTGGCGCTTCGACAAGCGGGATTGAGCGCCAAATTCTGGCCTTATGCATGCAAGCACTTCTGCCATGCTCGCAACATCGAATTGCGCGAGGGCCAGAGTGCCTATGCGATGCGATTTGGTGGTGTTGATTTTGACGGTCAGATTCTGCCGTTTGGTTGCCTTGTTGACTTCTATCCTACGCCGGCACGAAAGCAGACCCGGCGGAGTCAGAGAGATGAAGTCGTCCTCGGCGATGGTGAGGAGTACGCCGTTCCTGCGCCTGGAGACGACGGACTGATTGATGTCGAAATTGGTTTCGATGACGATGGTTATCTTGAGTGGATTGATGATGGAGACAATGATCAATCTGGCACTCTCCAGGGCGCCGACGTTGACCAACGCTTGTCGTCTTACCAACGCCCCAGTCAATTCTCCCCTACGAGTAAGCCTGGTAATATTTTTCTGGGTTATCATTTTGAGAACGGGGGCAAGTGGGACGGTGACTACATTGTCGCCGATTTGGAAGACTTCAAACGCGATGCATTGCGTGCGAGCGTCCATCAAGTCAAGAAGACATATTGTTCACCCCAGGAGCGATGGACGTTCCCGATGCTCGCCGTGTACGACAAGCAGACTCGATCAATGTGCATCAACGATCCTGCGATGCAATCCTGTGCGCCTCAATCTAGCGAGCGCCTTGACGCCTCTGATATGCTCGAACTCGAAGATATCGATGAAATATTTGCCCTTGACGAGCCGACCCGAATGACCGAAGAAGATGTTCGGCGGGCTCGTGAGGCCGAGTTACGAGCCGAATCTTCTCATGGAGGAGGTGTCGACTACTGGGATTATGATCCATCGAGTCATAAGTGGACTTATCACGTAGTCGTCCCGAGAAAGGCGATGATTCATCCCAGTAAGACTCCCGGATCTCTTGGCGAATCGCCTGATCCGTGGAAGCTGAGCACAGTGCGTATTTCGCATGTTCAGTATAAGGATAAAAGCCCGGTTGCGATCTATGAAACCGGCTATGCCTTCGGCAAGACGAGACTCATGCAGCTCTGGACAGGCACTGTCGAATTCTTTGATGATGGCTTTGCCCCATCCAAGAAGAAGTTACCTCCTTACCATGGGTCGGAGATCCTGGAGGGCGAGGGGGGTTTGCCTTACCGTCAGAGTGTGCCGCGCTCCGAGCGTGTCTACAGAGGGTCTCGAAAACCGAACTCTATCGACTCAGAATCCTGGCGCAGCATGAATCGCGCCGAACGGGAGGGATATGTCGAGGCTGAGCGCCGAGAAGCTGAGTCTCACGCCATGTCCCGAGAGGATTCTCGCGATGCCGCTCCTGTCGACATCGCTTTCGACTCCGAATATGAGTCGGGTGCTGAACGACATGATAAGGATTACTGGTATCACGATGTCGCAGCTGGCACGATTACCCGATTTCATGTGATCGAGCGCCGAGCGCGCTTTAATCCAACCTCAGTGAAGGACTGTCCCGTCAATCCTGCGACCTTGACTGATTATGGCCATGACCGATGGCACGGAGTTTACATTGCAGGATTCATGGAGATCATCCGATGCGCGATCTCTACCATGTCGATGGACCGGAAAGACCGTTTTCGTTCTCGGTTCTTCTGCTAAAACACAGATCAGGGTTCGCACCAGTCTGCCGAATAAGGACGGCACAGATCGCCGAGTGCGAACGGCGAATGGCTATTATGGCCACGCCTTGCGCGCGAAGGGACGTGTTGTCGTCCCTGCCAAGTCCCGCGCCTGTGTTGTTACCGACCTTGAGTTTGAACCCCCAAGCGGTATGTCGGCCCGCCTTCAGCCGCTCCGCGGTAGTGGCCTCGATATTTGTCCGGCCATGTACACGTGTAACGAGGGGGCAACCCAATCAGGGGTCGACGTCCTTAATCCTACCGACACTGACCTTGTTGTCGAGCCAGGACAGGACGTGGCAGTGGTTCAATTCTACACTTCTGTGCTAGCCGCGGTTGAACTTGATTTCACGGATGAGGATGCCGGGGATGGTCTATCTGCCCCGGTAGAGCCCTCCAACGCTTGTGTGGCTACCGATGCAGCCCCTGCGATGTCTGTTCGTCCCGATCCTCATTCACACCGCTCTCCAGACTCTTCGGTGTTCTTCTACAGTGCATGTGTCGCACGGCCTGTTGATCGACAGGAACGTGCCGCTAATCCCAAGGCCAAGGCCGCTCTTGATAAGGAGTGGAATAAGCTCATCAACCAGGGCTGTTGGGATTACGCCTCAGTGCGTGAGTGGCGCGATGTATCTAATGAGGCCATGGCGAAAGGGGAGACGGCCCATGTTGGTCGCATCTTCGATATATGCGTTGAGAAGAACTCCGAACTACCGGAATCCGATCCCAATCGAAAATTAAGGGTCGTGTCGTGTTTGAGGGCTGTCATGTCAAAGATGAAGGCAACAATTGGGCGATTTTCTCCGAGATAACTTCATGCCCCGCGACCATGGAGGCAGGGAAGGCCGCTGATGCTTTCGGTCTTCTGCCCGGTCACGAAATACAAGTTGCTGATGGCGAGTCCGCCTACACTCAAGCTAAGCTTGGCGGCCCAGCCACATGGGTGCGACTGCCCAGAGATCGATGGCTGCCCGAATGGCATGGAAAGTATCATGACCCGGTTGTGCGTCTTGTATTGGCCCTTTATGGGCACCCGGATGCCGGCGGGTTCTGGGAACAGCATTGCGAAAAGGCTCTCCGCTCAGTTGGCTTCGAGCAATGCCCTGACTGGAAGAGCGTGTTTCGTCATCCCAAGCTTAACCTTATGCTCGTTGTCTACGTCGATGATTTTAAACTCAGTGGACCAAAGGCCAATCTGGCCAACGGGTGGGAGCTCATGGCATCAAAGATTAAATTGGAGCCGCCCTCGAGCATCAAACGTTATTTGGGTTGTGAGCATGTTACTTTCTCACATGTTGTTCCTAATTCTTTTGATCCGCGCTCCTATTGGACGCGCTTCGAGGAACCCAAGAAGGCATTTCCCGAGCTCACTTTTGGCGATCGTGACACTACTGTCGCTCAGGGCTCTGTCGGTCCTCGCGAAATCCGAATGATCAAGTACGATATGCGATCGTTCATGGAGCAATGTGTCTCTCGCTACGTTGAGCTCTGTGGTCCGAAATACAAAGCCACCTTGCGGTCGGCTGACACGCCGTTTCTCGATGAGTCACGACCGGAGTTCGATACTAATCCGGATCGTCCCGAGGTGAACCGCTTGTTGGGCCATCCCACCGATACGCCTGTGCCTCCTGGTAAGGGCGTTCTCGGTGACTGCGCTGCCGCTGTCCTGATGAAAATCTTGTATGGTGCTCGCATGGGACGATACGATCTCATCCGTCCCGTGCAGGCACTTGCTAGTCTCATCACCAAGTGGGATGGTTTGTGTGACAAGAAGCTTCATCGTTTGGTGTGTTATATCAATTCCACCCTCGATCTCAATTTATATGGTTGGATTGGTGATGCGCCCGAGATGTTGGAGCTTGTGCTCTATTGCGATGCTGATCTTGCGGGCGACCGCACTGATTCCAAGAGCACGTCTGGCGTATTCATGTGTCTTCTTGGCCCGCGTAGCTTTATGCCTCTTAATGCGCTGTCCAAGAAGCAGACTTCTGTGTCGAAGTCTACTCCCGAAGCCGAAATTGTCTCCCTTGATCACGCGGTCTATAAACTGGGATTGCCCACTCTCTCCATGTGGGAGTATATGTTAGGCCGTCGTTTCCGTTTGCGTGTCATGGAAGACAATGAAGCTGCCATCCGAGTCATTATCACTGGTCACAATCCTAATATGCGTCATATGTCTCGTACCCAGCGTATCGATATTTCTGCGTTGAATGAACGCTACCACGCTGGTGACTTTCTGTTTGTGACGTGTCCCTCTCAGTTTGAGGCTGGTGATATCCTGACCAAGGCCTGCACTGATGCTAAAGTGTGGGGTCGCAACCTTATGTCTATTGGTCATTTTCGTAAAGGTACTCTTATTTCCTCTGGTATGCTGTCTGCCGCTCCCGCTCTCCCTGCTCTCCCCTCTGTCTGTCCAACCAGGGGGGTACATCTTGAAACTGGTCACAGCCCCTTCAACGATTTCATCCTCGACATGTCTCGTCAGGGGGGTATTTCAATCGATGATGCTCACCAATTCGGAGCAGCAATAAAATGTATTCATATCGGAGGCGAAGGCATAATCCGATTCCCTCATGCTCGAAGTATCAATCTCAGTCTCGATGATAATGCAAAGGGGATTGCTATTTCGAACATCAGGGTTCCGCCTACGCCTGCGGTATGTATTGTCACTGTTCCGATTGCTGGCACCGCTAACAAAAGAGAAGCCGGTTTCAAGAGCAGGGGTTGGAAAGAAATGAGGGGCGACCTCAAAGAAAAAGGATGGGAAGCCAAGAAATTACTCGGGTATGCTTCCGCTGCCCGCTCATCTGGAATCCCTGTATTCCTTGTGCTACCGAAGGGAAACCCATTGTGGGGTAGGGAGTACATAAGACGATGGTCTGAATCGCACGAGCTTTGCCCAGTTAAGCTGTGTTCGTGCTCCTCTGGTCGATGTTCTCAGCATGCATGGATGTGCGAGTTTTTCATGCCTGCCCGGTTCGGGCCCATCTTCATGTCACGATTTGCATGCAATCACAAGAAGGCCAAAAGGGTCGACCCGAAAGAGCTTCGATTTGCATTGTGGGCTGCGCTTGAACATTTCATGAATTCTGCGGTTTTTGGCTCACAGCAATCCGCGTTGCCGATTGCTTAAACAAAGACGCCAAGGCCATGCACATACTTGCACACTCACACTTGACTATAGCTCGGTAAGGAGCTCTAGACGGGCAACGATCATAGATCACCTTTATCAACCGACCATCACAGACCACCTCTACTACGACTCAGTCCATAGCCCACTTGCGCTCCCTGCTAGGACAGGTTGTAGCCGCCACGGGCTGCGAACTTCTCCGCGCTGCCGCCGCTGCTGAACGATGGGAGGAAAGAACAAGCAGCCACCGAAGAAGGCTGCTGCCAAGACACCGGCTGCCCGATCACCTCAGCCGAAGTCTCCCTCGCCTTGCGGGGAGGGCCTTCCGAGCGGTCCGATTGCGCCGACTACGGAAAGGCCTCCTGCTCCGCCGATCCCCACGGAGCAGGCTGATTCCAACATGGGCGCCGATGAAGCCCCAGTCCCGATTCAGACCCCGAGAGATGAGTCTACTGGGGGTGGGAAGCGCTCCGAGGACGTGGATGAAAGCGATGATGCTGAAGATCGGGGTCCAAGAGATCCCACAGGCCTCAATCTGGCAGCGCCTCGAACAGCTGGCATGCAACTCTGGTTTCGACCAAAGGCTGCATCAGCTGGTTGACTCCTTCCTCCTCTCTAATCATCCGCTTGCGGATAAGCAGAGGAAGCAGTACCCCCGAGAGTTTATGGACTTCATCGACCGATACAGGGTGATGTGCGCTCTTGCATTTTCCCGAGTGGCAACGTTGTCTGGTGATGCCGCAGGGGTCCGCGAGAAAATGGACCTTACGATGGCACTGGCTCGCCACTGTATGCACTTCCAAGCGCAAACCTTTAAGGGATCTCGAGAGACACTGAGCAACGATACGCTCCGTCTCATGGGAACCTGTTACATTCCGTCGCCTCTTGCGAGCTGGAACCGAAATCTCATGGGATTCAGCAGTTCGTCTGCGGAACAGCGATGGTTGAGGACCGATACGAGTATCAAACACAACGACCTCACCAAGCTGTCGCCCATTGAGTTGTCAAGGGATGCGGTCAACCCGGCTGAAGCCGCGAAGTTCTTCAAGGGATTTCTGCAGCTCAGGCCGACACTTTCTTTCATCCCTGGAGCGTTTCTGGCAATCAAGGCCCTTAACCGATTTCCCACGCTGGATTCTCTGAAAGAGCAAGCGACTCATCTCGAGAATGATCGCAAGGAACACGGCTACGATCTTCCTGCCGTGGATGCGAACGGGATTGGTGAAGTGGCCGCCTTTCGCAACGAAGATGACGATGAAAATAACCCGCTGATGCGCGGGTGGGTCTCGTTCATGAAGGCGATGGCTGAGGCCTACCCCGGGCGATGCGTCAGCATCGATGATACGCTCAACTGGGGAGCCAGCACCCAAATGACCTACGAGGACGGTGCATCACAGATCACCGTCCGCCCGACTGACGGATGGGTGTATGTCCCAGCGATGAATTCGGACATATACGATCCTCAGGAAACGCTCCTTCACGGAACGAATCTCCGATACCTCTGGTCGATCCTTGCACACGGAGGTCTATTCGGGGAGGATTACGTGACGGACGATCATGGAAGTCACGAACCCTGCGTCTGGGTGACTGGACACGCCCCCGAGGCTGCTGGTAGCTATGCATCTGGCACGTACCTCGGCGGAGGCTACTGGTTCCAGGTGATGATCTGCGTCTCCCGAACTATGGTGAACAGCCACAGTCGCACGACAAAGAAGCTGGGGGGATCCCAGAAGCAGATCCGCATAGGAACTCGATTTCTCGAGCTGTGCGGAATCGCGTTCAGGCCCTTCCGCCTCTTGGATGACCGCGAGCAAGGGGTTTCTACTTCCCCGAACTACGTCGTCCACGGACACCGATTCCTCAGTGCCGATGGGATGAAAGCCGTGGCTTGGCACCCGTGGATGGAAGCGAGCCCGATCGATCCTCGCATTCTGAAGCTGCTGGGAGACAGTGTCGCGCGCGACAATGTCGAGTTTGCCGACCTCACGATTCAGGGGGGCAACACTACCCAACAGGCTGCATCTACCGAGCCGGAGCAGCCTGTAGCAACCGCGGCTGATGATCAGGCTGGGGCAGGTGGTAGTGAGGCAACGGAGCGAATCACCGTCAACCCAGTAGTGCTTCGACGCAATCACTGGATGCCCGACACGTACGGGACGAGCGAGCAAGCCACTGTCGGTGGCAGGTATGCGTTGCTATCCGAGCTCCAGTCCTCTAGCTACCGAATCGAGCTTGCTCCTTTCTTCCAGCGTCGTGCACCCATCCTGGGAGAGGAAGGCAGCCAAGGTTTGCCAAAGCCTACAAAGCTCGAGACAATTGCCGGAGGACCCTCCAAAGAGTGGGAGGCATGGTGCAGGCACTACCGAAAGGCATACGGTGCTCTGCTCGGCAACTTCGGCTACACGCCCGCCAAGAATATCAAGGGTATCGTATACGATGAAGAAAATACGACGGATATCATTGGCGCGCCTGTTTGGAGCCCAGCCGATGCTCTTGTGGCTGTCTCGATTCACGGGATCAGAACGGTCACGACCATGGCCTCCACGATTGCATTTGGAGGTGCTCCGCCAACGATCAAGCCGGCGGTACCCAGCAAGCCGCAGAGATTCGTTGTCATGCACGATGGCCTGCTGACCTTCAGATCTGCCAAATCCTGGCACGATGGTGAGATGAACACCCATCTGAAGAACGCGCTGGCAAGCTTTGGATTCCCTGAGTCCGAAGTTCGAGTGCAGGCGTTTGATGAGAGCGAAAAGCTCAAGGAGATGGTAGATACGCTCGAACTGATGCGGAGCGACCCATCTGTCCCGCCATCGAACGTACACATCCTCATCCTCTGGAAAGGGGATGAGTTGTGGAAGATGGACCAGGGCTGGAATAAGCTGACTGGTGACATCGATACGGCACGATCACAATACGCCAAATTGACCGCCCGGGATGCCCTTGAGAAGTATAACACGATCTACGGATCGGTGTCCCTTTGCGGACCAGTATCACCGAGCATGGGTTACCTTCCGACTCTTCCTGGCCCTCTCTTCGAGAAATATAGAGAGGAGATGAGGTCGATCTGGGACGAAGTCAGGAGGTCCAACTTCCTCTCCCTGTCGTTTGACGCTATCCTGGAGGGGCTACCATACCTGAAAGGATATCACATCATGCATGAGTCCAAGACGATTGGGGTCCTGTGTACCCGTATCTGCTCGATGTTCACACTTGCGGCTCTCGCACGATTTCCGTCTTACGCTACCCGACGGGAGTATGAGATTGCCCACGATAAAATGTGGGCGCGCACTCCAGTCCCGGAAGAAAGGTCGACGGGCACGGTGAAGGCCATTGTGCACTCCACAGTGCAGGACCTTATCGAAGGGGCAGATCGCGGCGCCGATCACCGAGCCGGAAAGACCGTTGACATGAGTCAGCTTGGCTTCGATGACGACGATGATGAAGAGATGGCTGACGATGCAGGTCCGACTGCTCCCGAGAATCCGATCAAACAGGAACAGGCGACTTTGGCTGATCTGCCGGGTGTTCGTCATCCGGATCCGATTGAGTTGCCCACTACTCCTGTGCCTGGCCAGGCAATGCCAGTGTCGCCCGGCCTTGCTCCGGCTGCCACGAACGATGAAGAGTCTAGCAATAGCTCCGATGACGCCGGACAGCAAGGGGATGGCGATGCAGCGATGCCCGAGGTCAAGAAGGAGGAATCCGATGAGGAGTTCAATGAGCTTCTCGAAGGAATGACTGAAGCATTCGGGAAGTTGCCTACTCCCCGGGATGCAGAGCGAACAGTCGCAGCCAATCGAGACGCTGCACGACCGCCTGCCGTGCCGACGATCCCTCTATCTACGATGAAGAAGCCAAAGCCGTTCGGTGGTGTGGAGGCCGCGGGGCCCACTGCCGAGAGTCGCCAAGGCTATGCGCACTTCGAGAGCCAAGTCAGTGAAATTGAGGCTCGCCGTGAACAGGCTGCTAAGATGAAGGCGCATATCGCGGAAGTGGCGAAGGGCGCCACGGGAGTTGAGAATGCCGAACACCTTCGATCCATTGCCGATGGGCTAGCCAAGATCATGGATCCGAACATGAGCGATGACAATGTGTTCCAGGGTGCCATGTATCCTCCGGGTGACTATGCGCTTGACGCTGTCACGAACCGGTTGGCCCAAGGCCGGCGCCGGGTTGAGTCGAACAGCAATCTCATCAGGGAGATGGCCAGCGACCGATTTACGCCTGTGCTCATCAACCGAGATACTGGTGAGACTGTGTCCGCCATTGATGCACGGTGGACCCCGGAGTATGGAAACAGGGGGGAGCTTGAAGCCAAGGTTGGTGCGATTATCTCCAACCTGGATGCAGTGGTTGCAAGCATGTCAACCCTCCCTGTGTTCCACCCGCACATTCCCTCAACGTATGGTATGGCCCGATCGCTTCTCAACACATACCAGTCGTTGCAGATTGCCATCCGACACCGTATGGCATGGGTGCGATGTCCTTTGAACAGATGGTGTTCAAGCCGGAGGACCTTGAGGTTCCGACTCCTCATGACTGGCCGGACCTCATTGCGCCTACCCCTGGAAAAGTCATTCAGTCCATGCGGGTGGCCCTGGTGAATAACACAGCGGCGAGGTTGACGAGAGAGGACCTCAAGCTGCCACCGGGCTTCGCCATGCAGCGACGAGTGACTGAGTTCCGTAAGCCGGAGGAAGATCCAGTGCAGAGCCTAATGGGGCTCACCGATGACTTGAGCTACGGCACTACCGGTCGATCTGGGGATGACAGATTGTCCCAGTTCCAGCGCAGTGTTGCAGTACAGCTGCGGCGGAACACTGCAGGATTCATTGCGAGTGAGTTCCAGAAGCATGCCCGATCTATTGCCGCTTCCTCCTCGCGTCGCAGTGATGCCTCAGGTGCCCTGAGTAGTCAGGGTGAAGGCGCGGCGGACAACGATCTTCCGTCCACCGAACAGGTTAGTGTCGCATCTGAGCGCGCGACTACGCCGCCTCCGCCAAACGTGGCTCCTCCTCCTCCGCCTACTGCGGCAGCACCTCCGAGGGCGTCCGAAGAGATTGCAAAGGAGGATGACGATGATACCAAAATGGATGATGACACGGCCGATCAGAAACCTGAGCAGAAACCCGAGGAGGACGTACAAGACGAGGTCCCCGGCAAGGCCCCGCCGCCAGCTGCCCGAACCGCTGAGAACCCTCCGGAACACGGCGTGCGTTCCAGTTCTCCGAATGACATGGTTGCTCAGGGAGCCGTGCTCTCCGGTGCTCGAGGGCCGGATATCGACATTGACCCGGCCAGTACCACAGCCGATCAGGCGGCAAATGACCCGAGAAACTTCCGGATCGAGGGCCCTGGTATCAAGGCGACAACGATTCATCGCCCTGACCAGATGCCTGAAAGGGGTATCGACTCCATTGCGCCGATCGTGCAGTATGAAATGACGTCCGTCCCGATTGCACTGACGGACTTCGTCACCCCGGGGCTCGACATGGGCATCGATGATTCCGTCCATGGTCGACTGGTCTCCGCGACCTGTCTCCCACCGACTGACGAACAGCGCAAGTATTCGAGGCGCCGATTCGCTATGCTATCCTCGAATCAGACAGTGTACTTGAACGTGGCACTTCACAAGAAACCGGTCAAAGGAGATCACGATACTTTCCTCCGACCGGAGTCTTACGAGGACTGCCGCGAGATTAATGACGCTGTCCGAGCATACAATGCTAAGGAGGCAAAGTTCCGATCTGTCGGCGGAACATCCGTATCATGCAGCCGATTGTTGATTGACGACGCACAAAACATCCCTGCCGCCAGGATTCCGGACGCAGGAATGATCAATTTGGTGCGGAAACTGATGTTCCGAGTGCTGACGCAAACGAAGGAGTACCCTTCCGCTACTGCCGAGAGAGCGCAGAATCGCCCCCAGGATCAAGAAAGGGGCATTCCCTTGTATTCACGCTTCGACCAGAGTGGCATCATCGCTTTCGATGTCATTCCGATGTACATGGAGCGTGAGAGGGAATACATGAAGGCCAACGCCGGAGAAAACGATGGCCGAATTCTTCTCCAGACAAATATTCTGGATGAACACGGTGAACCGACCGAGATTACTACCCAATGCATTATGGAGATCGCTCGGACGGACAACAACCGAATGTTTGAGTTCTTCTACTCGACGATCGACAACGATGGAAGTCCTCAATTTGTCGGCATCCGAGCCACCTACGGTTTCGGCCCTGATAACTTCAACCGATTCCGACTGCTGACCAAGTGCCAGCACGGGCCATTTATTCAGCTCGCTCAGGACCATTACGTCGGTGGCGAGAGGAAAAGAAATGTGGCCCGATACCATCCTCAGTACGGATGGGGATGCGCAACGATTCGCGAATTCTTCGGGTACATGAGCGATTGCAAGATCAATCCTCCGAAAGGACGGCTGTTCCTCACTCTGCTCCCGTATGCTCCCGGGTCTGGGCACAACAATGAGTGGGAAGAGGTGTACATGAACGTCCGAATGAACCCGGGGCGTGAGACGCTTTCGAACACCGCGTCATCACAATCCATGCTCCCTGAAGGGATGGGATCCAACCGCATGATCGTGTTTGCGATTGATTTGCACATGATTGCGGCGGGAATCAATCCGATTGTATTCCACCCGAGGGGATATTATGCGATCAAAGACAGTATCCCTCTCGCCTGTATGCCCATTGCATACTTCATGGACACGGGATCCCTAGTGTTCAACACGGCCTTCAAATACACTGGAGGTCCGTAGTTCGGCACTGGCCCCAAGAGAGGAGACCACAAACGAGAAACGTGGCCACTCGCTAGTTTCGACTGCCCCATGTGCGGAGCATCATTCCCGGTGGGTCTCCACATGTGCCACTCTTGCACCAAGCCGATTCACTATCCTGATGGGATGTTCTACGCCGATCCTGTGAACCCCTTTCAGGTCGAGTACTATGGAAGTCATGCCGAATGGCTCAACGAGCTCATTGAGCGAAACGAGCTTAAAGAATTCCGACTTCACGAGTACCCTGCGATCAAGCAGCTGAGGAATTTCCCGGTGTCTAGGTCCCTCGCTGAGGACCACAGGCAAACCGCGTTCTTCGGGGTGCCACCGATCAAATGCACTGCAGCTGATACATCGCCGAAAGAAGTGGAGTTGTTCAAGAAGAGCGTGCGCGGAACGATTCAAGGCGCCATTCGATTGGACATTTCCATTGAGAGGCTTGTTGCCGGTATCACTGGCAAGGAAGCTCGGTGCGGTGTGGAAGAGTTCCTCAACTCGCAATCGATCGCCTGTGCAATCACGATAGTCAAGCACTTCGGCGCGGTCTTCGCCACATGCCGCGAAAAGCCGCTATGCTACTATGCACGATGGTCGATTCACTGTCAACGCGCATACCGAGTCTGCCTGTCGCGCGGCTATCTCTCCCCCTTTTACACAGGGGGGACGATCGATTATACCGTCGATTCAGACATGGTCGAGAAAATCCGGCTTGCGCATCTGCCATTGCAGAACGCCAATCTGGCGATGAGACGGCAAATTCGACTTTCCACCGAGTTTGGAACGTTGGATGAGTTCCGCGCCACTATCACGGACACGCAGAAGTATCAGCGATACATGCGTGTCGGTAGTGAAAGCCTTTCCGCGCTCCTTGCCAAGGTTACCCTTACAACGTGCTACGGCATTCCGATGAAAGGTGAACCTGGCTACATCTCCGACGATGAAGCAGAGGAGATCGAAGGAACTGCAGCGGCAACTGAGAAGCCCAAAGGGAAAGGCAAAGGGGAAGAAGAACCCGACGTCCAAGCCATCAATTGGCGTGATTTGGACCCTTTGGGGCGGAATTTCATCCCGAACCATACTGATCCCCGATTCACGATTATCGCTGATGGGAATACGGCACTCCTTGATGCCCCTGAAACGCCTGATGAGAAGCGTAAGGAATTCAAGGAGTTCGTTCGCGATCACTCTATCAAGATTAAGGAATGGTTCGACGATGATCGCGCGACTGAGAAGACGTTCTTCAATCTTGTTGAAGGCGTAAAGGATCAGCTCCCCGATACTAAGAGAACTGACCCTGTTCTTATGAAAAAGAACGAAGATGTCTTCGAGGCTCTACCCGATGAACTGGAAGAGCCTCAAGAACTGTTTGACGTCGCAGCTCGGCAGGCACGACGGCGTGATGATACGCTTCAGCGCAGAGTGCAGGCCACCGAGCAACGGCACGCGTCGATTCCCGAGGCTCATGCCGTCCCCGTTCCTCCGGATGACGAGGACGAGGATGATGCTGAGCTCGAACGGGCGATCCGACCCGGTCCGAAGTCACAACGCACTGGGCGAGAGCATCTCGGAGGTGTCGCTCCTGAGACGAGTCCGCCCCCGCCTCGCGAGAGGCCGCCTCCGTCAAATCCACCGAGTCGGAAGATGTCGAGGCAATCGGGCTACAATGTCCCCCACGCTGATGGGGAGACACTGATGGTCTCAGGAAGGGCACCCTACTCCGATCAAATGGGCCTACCCTTGGTACTGCGAATGAAGACCCGGGTTCCGGAACCTGATTTGGACAACCCGACGATTGAAGATATTATTCGCATGTATCACGCACCGAACACGCTGCCTGTTGTCAGGAAGAAAGTCGCCAATGTCATCATTTCGATGAATGCAAATCCCGATGACCCTATCAATATGATCCCGCTCTCAACTCCTCCTTCTCCTACTTTCGGGGTGTCCTCCTCTCCTGCGGTCCTGTTTTATTACTTTCTGGCTACTCTCCTACTCCTGCTCTTCTAACAAGACACTCTCCTACTCCTACTCTCTTACTCGCACTCTCCCACTCCTACTCTTCTATTCCTTCGCTCTGATTCGTATTCTCTTTGCCCCTAGTCTCCTCTTCTGTTGGAATACTAACCTTACGACTACTCCTACTCTCCTACTACTACTATTCCATTCCTACTCCTACTCTTCTCTTCCTCCCCTTTCAGGAGTGCGCATCGAGGTAGGGTAGTAGGAATAACAGCATAACAGCAGTGGTAGAGATAGGGGCAAGACAAGGAATACCAAAAGTGGAGGGACACGATGAGAACAGGAGTAGCGGTAGAAACTTTGAAGTAATTAGCGCTCAGCGGAGGTGTAGAGGGGGGCGGGTGGTAAGGAGTGGGAAACGAATTCACAGAGTAGAAGTAGAAGACTTGGACAGGTCGTCTAGATGTCGAAATAAGAAAGCTGGAAAAAGCATCAGACAGTATATCTATGGTAGCGGGAAAAAGAAGAATTAGGATTAACTAGCAGACATGTAGGAGAGAGTAGGAGTAAGAACATGTTGTTGTCTCTGACCCCCTTCTTTATGTAAAGCTACGCAAGTGGAGCTTGTGTGTGAGGGAAACCTTGTCTGCTTCAGACGGATGGCTCCAGACGGAGTTTGGAGCATGATCGACAGAAGCCAGCAACATGTCTAGGCCATGATCGGCAGAAACCACCGGCATGTCTAGGCCATGATCCGCAGAAGCCAATGGGCTTAGATCAGATATGCACAGAAGCTCTGGTCACTGTGTGTGTGTGCGTGAAAAAGACCGAATTCGTTTGCGCTCTCATGGCCCTCGGCCCTTCGCCTCTGTAACCACCACGTTGTTTAGAACGAGAAGGCGATACCCAAGTGCTGGGAATTTGAATCCACAGGTTATGAGCGCCCAACCTACAGTGCCGTCTCCGCCGACACTGGAAGGTGAAGAGAATGGGCCACGATATGAGAATGCGCAAGAAGAAAGACAAAGGATGGCAGCCAGGCAGAATCCACAGACTGGCCCGGCTGCGGAAGCTCCTATGATGGTCAATGGTGTCGATCCTCGAAGGGTGGATGTGGCTCGCGAGGCACCGCTCCAAGCGGAACCGCGGGTCGCAGGGCCTCCCCCAGAGGGTCCTCATCAGGCACCAGAACAACCTGGACCTTTGATGATTCCAGTGTTGGGCCAAGGCCAAGTGGATGGTGGTACGGTGATAAGCCCATCCAGCAGTGCAGGATATGAGTCGATTCCTACGAGGCCTGCGTCGCCGCAGAGACCCCAGAGCGGGCAACCGGAAGCGGAAAGGACTATGGCGATGGAGTATTCTGTTCAGCAGCAGGCTGGAGGCCCGCCAGTGGTGCGCTGGGTGGCGCGACTGACTGAGTTCTTGCGTTCGTCTACGAGGGGTAATGGACTTCAGGGTAGGTTCTTAGATGGGTTGGGTTTAGGTTCAACGACAAACCAAGACCCGTCAGGATTCCCCACGTTTGCAGACCACAGGCAACACCTAACGGCAAGCTCGCAGCAGCTCATAGCACCATCAGCAGCAGCGCAGTCACCGGCGATGTCGATTACCAGACCGAACGACTTGCAGAATTATGCGCTAAGGTCTGTGCCCTTACCGCCTCCTCTACCTGTTCGGCAACCTTCGCCCCCGGCAGTAAGGAGATCTCCATCCCCGCCTCCACCGCCGCCGTTGCCTACTGAGGAAAGGTTTTGGCCATCTACGCCCTCGTTTCCATCGGCATGGGGACCTCAGCTGTTTACGCCAGAGCAGACGTCGATGTTTGAAAGGCATGAGCAGGAGGCACCGTGGTTGTACTCGAGACAAGGACCCCCAAGCTCTACGTCGTCAGAGGAGGTTCAGGCCGAAGTACAAAGACAGTTACGTAGCTTTGTGGAAAGACACGACGGAGAAGCTAGGCGTCTGAGGGAAGAAGTACTCCAGCTGCAGCAGCAACGTGATCACCTGGCTCTTCAGTTAGAAAGGGATCGGACTGCAGAGGCTCAAGCACATGATCGGGCTGCAGAGGTTCAAGTACGTGATCGGGCTGCAGATGTTCAAGTACGTGATCGGGCTGCAGATGGTCGTGTACGTGATCGGGCTGCAGAGGGTCGTGTACGTGATCGGACTGCAGAGGGTCAAGTACGTGATCGTTCCACAGAGGGTCGGGTACGTGATCGGGCTGCAGAGAGTCAAGTACGTGATCGTTCCACAGAGGGTCGTGTACGTGATCGGGCTGCAGAGAGTCAAGTACGTGATCGTTCCACAGAGGGTCAAGTACGTGATCGTTCCACAGAGGGTCAAAGGCGAGATTGGGCTGCTAGTGGTCGTGTACGTGATCGGTCCACTGAGGGTCCCGAAGGGCATCATCAGGAACCTTCTCAATACCCGAGCTACACGACTGAGTACTTTGACCTGCGAGAGGGCGACAGAGCTCTACGGGATCAGCAAAGGTCGTATGCAGACTTGGAACCCCCTCAGGACGCGGAGCGAGCAGAGCCTACGCCTACCAGCGGTCCGTCCACCTTGGAGCTTTTGGGCTTTATCGCTACGGGCATGAAGCAGCTGCAGGATGTCCAGTTGAAGCAGATGGAGAAGAAGTCTGATGTTCCCGAGGTCGTCAAGCCGGGGGTTTCGTCATTGCCGTTGTTGAATGCTCCTGGGCAAGACACGAGCCCTGTCGACATACAAGACTGGTTGGAGGAAGTGGGCGGCGTGATGACCGACTTGAGCGATTCCAGTTGGGAGTGGTGGACGCAAGCAAAGGAGCTAGCTGAGGCCCACTACCGTAAGTGGGTGAAGTCTACGCCTTTGGAGAAGATCTCTTTGGCTATGCCCCGGAGTCCGAGCCTGGAGCAGGGTCGATATGGGCGAGTGAACGCCCGCGCAGCAGGCATGGTGCTTGCAGCTTTGCCCCAGGAGGTCAAGACGGAGATGATCATCAAGAAGGTTTCGGGTAGCACGGCAAGTTTGATCTTTAAGCTCCTCACGGTGTACCGACCAGGAGGGGAAAGGGAAAAGACGCTGCTCCTGCAGCAACTCACGGCGCCAGAGGTTGCTGCGACGGCTGAAGAGGCAGTTCAGGGTCTTCGCAGATGGGGCCGCTGGTATGCTCGAGCAAAGGACCTAACGGTAGCGGTTCCGGACCCTGTCTTGATGATAAAGGGACTGGCGGCCATAGTGTCTGTGGTTTTGGGACGTCATCAAGATGTTTGGCTGCGTACTTCAATGGTCCGGCAAAAGCTTCAGCTTGACAGTAACCCCTTAGAGGAAACCTCGCTCGACTACCACAAGCACCTGCAGGCCGAAATGGAGCTCCTGAGTACCGCCTCTACGACTACTGCGAGCAGGTCAAATCCTCCAAGGATAAAGAGCGCAATTGCTGCGACGGACCCAACGACTACAGCGCCTACCTCTTCGACTCCAGCACCGAAGCCGAAGGCGTCGCCCACTAAGGACAGGACGTGCAAGTGGTTTGCTAAGTCTGAGGGAGGTTGCCGGCGAGGTGCGGACTGTCAGTTTGTGCATGAGTGGGGAACCACGTACTCCCAAGGCCGGAAGATGTCTGGTGTGCTCGAGTACCGGGCATTTGAAAAAGGACTGTCCGGTGAGGGACAAGGGAGCGACAACGCGGCCACAGAAGCCACGAGCAGACCCGTCACCGCAGGGACCCGGTTCTACCACAACGGCTATGAGGGCGATGAACTCTACATCTGAGACTATCCCTACGCCTCCGAGTATGCCCCAGCAACCAGCAGCTGAGCCATCCCCCACTACATCTCCAACATCCTCTCAGCAAAGGGTGGCTCCAGAAGAGGAGCGGCCGAAGGAGCTGCAGCAGATGCTTGTGGATGCGTCAAAAATGCTGAAGACGATGATGGCCAACAGCCCCGGCAGTGCCCCAACAAGCTCTACGGCACCACCGTCCTATGAGTCGATCCAGAAGCAACTCGATGAACTAAGGTTGAAGTCAATGACGGTGCAACCTACTACGGGTGGATCATCAAGCTCCTCTACGGCAGCCTCGCCACCTTCCTACGCGGAGATACAACGGCAACTGGATGCTATGAGAATGAAGGTGATGAAGGTGTCCGATAGTGAGGGCAGCAACAAGCAGGGAGCGCTGTTGGACTCCGGCTCGATGCATGTGTTACGCCCCGCCAGAGATGAGCAGGAGCGTCAAAGTTGCCACCAGGTCTATGTTACCCTGGCGGGCGATGAACGGCGATTGCTTGATCAGACGGCTAGCGGAAGCATCGTTGTGGAGCCCGACAAGACCAAGGATGTGCAATCGATCATTCCATTTGGAAAGGTCATAGAGTGTTTGGGCTGCACTTTGAAGTGGTCTAAGGGCGGCTTCTATCTTCATCATCCCAAGCATGGTCGCATCAAGACCCAGGTGAAGGGCGGATGTCCAGAAATAACGGATGCGGGTCAGGCGGCGGCGATCATAGCCGAGTTGGAGATGAAGAAGGTTGCGGAGCTCAAAGAAAAGACGCAGGAACTGCAGAACCAGCTCACGGCGATTCGGATGCTGGAACAACGTAAGGCCGACTGGCGAGTGCTTTTGGCCAAGTACTCTGAGGAGGGGTGCTCGGCAGATGGCTTGCAGGCGTTGTACACCTCACCGGTGTTCGAAGCCCTCCCCAACGAAGTAAGGACGCGTGTGGCACCTCAACTTGATGCGTCTCCTGGGGCAGGCTGGGACTACTTGAAGCTTCTACCCCTACCGAGACGGATGCGGAAGCGCCTGTTTAAGTCGAGTTGCTGGGTCCTGAACATGTTTGCGGGAGAGAAGAAGGGAGACCCTGTGCAAACCCTTTCCGGAACTACCTCGTCGAGGCACCAAGGGGAAGTTGTGGTGATCAACGTCGACGTCACGCTTTCCCTGGGATGGAATTTGCAAGGAGAAGTCTACAAAGCCCTGTTGTGGGGCGCCATGAACTCAAAGGTGAAGGCTGTGGTTGCTTCACCACCTATCAGCGGGCTCGCTTCGGGTGGAATGCAGGAGGGCGACGGCGACCACCGCTTTATCAAGGACACGGAGATGGTGGCCAAGACTTTGTTCCTTTATTTGGTCAGCTACACGGCCGCTGAGGGCGCCGAGCCTGCATTTGTGATTGGAGCCCCTACCGAGGCAACCTCCTTTTGGAAGTCAGATATGATGAAGAAGTTTCAAGAGGTGGTTGGGGAAATTGGCGTCAAGGAGTGTGAGTTAGAGCAGGGCGGCTTTGGACACCCCGAAATTGCACCTATGAAGTTACTTCATAATGTTGGCTTGGACCCGCACCATGGACTGAAGGACCTACGACCTGATCATCTACGACCTACCCGAGATCCCGGTTTTCCAGTTCGGCGGTGGTGCCCAGGACTTCGCCGTGCCGTGCAAGAGGGCATTCGAGCCATGGGACTGGGAGATGGAGCAGATGGCCATGAGTCAGAAGGAGAGTGCGAGCTACGGAAGCTCTCCAAGGAACAGGCGTGGAAACTCCACATCCAGCGGGACCATGTACCCTTTCGGCGAGATTGTGAGCAGTGTGTGATGATGTTGGGCACCGGACGTCCCCACAGGCGAGTTCATCAGAAAAGTTGCTATGTGCTGGGCGTCGATGTGGGAGGCCCGTTGAGAGTACCAAGTAAAGATGCGCATGGTTCTGGATACAAGTACTTTCTGGCGGCATCCTACACGAAGCCCTGTTTTGCAGATTTAGATCCACCGCCTGAGGAACCGTTGGAGGACCTCGCCGATGTGGAGTACGACTTCTCCACTTTGGATATCGAGGAGAAAGAGGGCTCTGGTGGTGTGGCAGATGACGAGCTTAGCGTGCAGTGCGGCGTCTTTGATCAGGACGAGTTGGCTGAGTACGAGCCTTCCGAGGTGGATGCTAGCGAAGATCCGGCCATGAAGAAAATCGGTGGCACCAATGGCCTTTGGGATGATGACGACTTTGCGGCTATCGAGCAGGAGAAGGATGCCAAGGCCAACGAGGATGAGGAGGGGAACGCGGAGGTTCAGACGGATTTCCTCTACTATTTCAAGCCCTTAAAAGGGAAGAGTGGAAAGCATGTCCTCAAGGCGATTCAGGAGGTGGTTCTACAACTTCCTTCGCAGTGAAAACCTCCCGGTCGTGAGGATCCACGCGGATAGGGCTCACGAGTTGAGGTCCGAGGGTCTCCGTCAATGGACCCTTGATAACAACATTCTCCTTACGCGGACGGAGGGCCAGTCCCCCCATTCCAATGGAACGGCCGAAAGGGCCGTTCGCTTCCTTAAGGGCCGAGCACGTTCTCTACTACGATCGGCTGGGTTGAGTCCTCAGCACTGGGCTACGGCTATGGCAACAGCGGCTCACCGCCAAAGGGAGGATCGACTACGACCGGAAGCACCGAATGTCCCTACGGCATATGGCACTCGAGTCGCCAGAAAGAAAAAGTACTACGGCCAAGGCGGAAAACTTGATCTACTACCTCGATGGGTTAAGGGAACCTACATGGGCCCGGTGTGGGATGTCAACCAGGGTTCTGCAATCCTGGAAGACGAGACCAATCGTTTTTGGTGTCTACGCATGTGAGGGCGAAGCTGGTGGACCCAGGTACTATCGACCAAGAACCTGAGCTTACGGTCGAGCCCCCGCCGAGGAGGAGGTTGACAACAAAGACTTCGGTGGACAAGGATGGGGTGAAGTTGCGAGCCCTGTCCGCGAGGGAAGCAGGTGAAGCGAGGAAGAAGTTGCAGGGAGAGATCGTTGAGATGTTGAAGCATGGTGACTTTGTTGGTGAGATAAATCGACCTCAACTACAAGACCAAGAGCACCAAACCGAAAGCTCCTACGTGACCTTGGGGGCCTATCAACACGGTGGTGTGGTCGGGGTTACCAATGCGACAAAGGACAATGTATCCTTAGCCGAGAAAGTGTGCAAGTTGGTTACTTTGGCTTTTCCGGAAGAGGTGTTTTCCTCGGTGACGATTGTGAAGGATACCTTTATGCCTCTCCACCGCGACTGCTTCAATGACCGCAAAACCTACAACCTTGTGATCCCGCTGGAGGTCACTGATGACGCGGCAGTGTGGGAAGAACTTTGCCCTGGTGATGTGTTTTTGGGGAACTATAAGACGTACCTCGTGACGAGGAACGAGTTACGACTATGTGTGCTAGCTTACCTATTACTACTCGAAGCTATCGAAGGTAGCTTCGCTAGAAACGAAGTTTCGTTCGCTATCGTCGCTCGCAGGAGAGTTGCCTCTGACGTGCGAAGACAGGATAGCAGTGACTTGGAATGGCTACGACGGTGTGTGACCGTGGCCATTCTGGATAAAGTCCCCCATCAGGGGGGGTAATTTTGAAGTAGAGGGGGATAGAAGGGGAACTTGGCTATCTAGCCAAGCGAGAATGGCCTCCCCGCGCTCCCCTTCTGCTTCGCGGACGGCTAGCCCACAGTCTCCGGCTACTACGGTGATTCCGGCTAGTCCTGGGGGCGAGGAGCCAGGGAGTCCAACCGTCTTGCCCACGGCTGAGCCGGAAGAGCAGGACGTCGGGCCGGCTACTCCCTCCGGAGGGATAGGGACCCCCATCGGTCTTCCGTCCTTGTTGGATAGCGCTCTTGTGCAGAAGCGTGCGGTGCTGGATAGATGCCATGAGCATCTGGCGTCGCGGGGCTTCGGTGTGCTTGAGCTGGCTACCCTCGGTCTAGAGGACGCGGAAGATATTGGGCACCAGGTGGCTGAGGAGCTGGGCGTTGGCTACGACGAGTACATCGGCGACTCGATCTACCTGTGGATACAAGAGGCCCAGGAAGCTAGGGACCTGGTGGAGAGATCGTCGGGATACAGAGCAACTTCGCTAGCTTGGGCTAACCTCAGCAAGCGGCCGGCGATCGAAGGCATCGACCTTCAGGAAGATAGCGAGCCGGAGCCCCCGAAAGGGGATAGGCAGAAGCGCTTGGTCAACGAGGGCTCCCTGGCGCAGGCTAGGGAAGAAAGGCTACAAGCAACCTGGGCTATCAAGCTCAAGGAAGAGCTAGAATTGTGCGAGGCGCCGGTGCTGAAGAAGCTACAGGGGTGCCTGGACCCGGATAGAGCGGTGTTGGCGCTAGCGGGGAAAACCCGGGCTAGCACTCTCAAGCGCTACGTCTCGATACACGTGAGATGGCGGCTATGGCTACGGGAGGCTAAGAGTGGACGCCCCCCTGGGCTACCGGCCGACCTGGCCGACTACATCATGGCTAGGGGCGACGAGCCCTGCGGGCGAACAGTTCCCGAGGCGATCCTCAAGGCCATCAGCTGGATAGAGAGGGTCGCGGAATGGGCGACCGAGTCGAGAGCTACCTCAGGCAGGATAGCGTGGGCGATCAAGGATACGGTCGTCGAGAGGCTATCCTGGAAGGCGCCCTGGACGCGGCGAGCCCCCCGATATCCTGCGGCTATCCTGGCTAGGTGGGAGCGCCTGGTCCTGGATACAACGGTGGCCGTCGGCTGGAGAGCTTGGGCCTGGGCTAAGCTCCTAAAGGTTTGGGGCAGCTTGCGATGGTCGGACCTCCAGGCTATGGTCCCAAACGAACTGGCTATGGTGGAAGGTCGGCTATCCACCATCCTGCGGCGGACCAAAACCACCGGGGCTAACAGGCGCATACGAGAGCTACCCGTATGCATCTCGGAGAGAGCCTACTTCGAGGACCCTGGCTGGCTACAGGCGGGCTTCGACCTGCTAAAGAACCACGCGGGCTACCAGCGGGACTATCTCATGCCAAGGCTAGGCGAGAGAGGCGCCCTGGAGAAGAAGATGGCTACCTACGCAGATGCGATGGTGGCTACAGCGGGGCTGCTGGCTATGGTGGGGATCCCGACGGTTGCCCGAGGCTACTGGTCGGAGCACAGTGAGAGAGCAGTGCTACCTACCGGGCTGAGCCTAAAGCCGATCCCGCCGGCAGATAGAGATATGCTAGGACGCTGGAAGCCCGAGGGCTCGGATACCTACATCCGCTCCTATGGCGGAAGGGTCTCCCGACTCCAGGCTATCTATGCAGAGGCGGCTAGGGCTCGGGACCGAGAACAGCAGCTAGACGAGAGGGAGATAGCCGGCGATCTTGGTGGCTGGCTTTTCCGGACTGGCAAGGCTAGCGAGCAGGAAGCTGAGAAGCTATCGGGAGAGCTGCGACGAGAGTGGGCTAGCGAGCGCATCGTGGAGATGGTGGCTGGTCCGGGGATACCTGAAGAAGTCGTGGCGAGCGATCCTCCCGAAGATAGACCCGACTCCTCGGCTAGTGAGCCGGAGCTGGGACCGGAACCCAACCGGAACCGGCCGAGGCAGCTCCTTAAGAAGGCTAGGTGCACGAGCTATATCATAGTTGAGCTTCCAGGGAAGAAGTACAGGCTACACAAGGGGGGCCAGGCCGGGTGCTGGATGGGCCGCCGTAGGATATTTAAGAACTCCCAAGAGTTTTCGGCGAGGCCCGAACCCAACCAGTACACGCATGTCTGTAGGCTATGCTGGCCGAAAGGCCGAGGCGAAGAGTCCCCGTCTGGTGATAGCGACACCTCTCAGGCTAGCACCGGCGACCAGAAGCCGGAGCAGGGAGAGGAAGAAGATTTCGGAGAGGTCCCAGCAGCAGAGCTGCAGGGAGTACCTCCGGGGATAGTACCCCAGTTGCCGATAGCTCCGTTGCCGGCTATTCCGTTCGGCTGGGGACCGCCTTTTGCCTGAAGGGATAGAAACGCCGGGAAAGCAGCGGGGCTGGACAACGGGGGATACGTCCGGGGGCGGCCTCTCGGGATATACTCTTTCCTTCCCATCTCTCCGGGGGCGGCGGGCCCAGGGGGAGAAAGAAGGGGAGAGAAGAGAGGAGAGATTGTTGCACTTGCTGTCTTGTCTGCTGGCTAGGACGTAGGCTGCGAGGTTCTTAGGCAGGCTAAGCTGCATGCGCACATGTCCGGCTGAGTGTGCACTTGTGGGCTAGGGCACGGCACAAATGCGCTTGCCGCGGCTACTGTGGCTAGGGTGGAGTAACGGACCACCAGCTTTTCTGGAGAGCCCACGCTAGGTGGGCGAGCCTGCGTGCCTTCGGGCCGGCTAGCGGCACATGGCTACTGCCCCCAGCTGGGCAGACCAGACAGAGTCGGCTAGCGTCCAGGCGCAACGGATAGAAGTGCTACGCCTCTTAGAGGACTGGCTAGAGACTGACCCGGCTAGCTTGGCCGAACAGATATACGACCGGCTGAGTCTGGATAAGCAGCACGAGCTTCTCCAGCTAGTGCGAAAGGCTAGGGACATGAGGCTAGCCAAGTGCCAGGAGGGAGCTAGCATACAGCCTGGCGGCCGGCTATCTGCCAGGCTACTCAAGTTCCAAGGGGCTAGGTCTTGGGACGATATCTCTGCGGAGCTCGAGGCTAGCCTGTCCACCACCGAGGCTAGATACCTTGAGCAGAGGATAGAGAAGAACCGGCAGCTGGCCGGGCTACGACCGCACCGTCCAGGAGAGACCCTGGAGGAGGATAGCGTCACGGATAACGAGCTGGAGGCTACACCGTGGCAGGGGGAGGCCCCGGAGGCTACCTGGTCTAGCGCCGGGCCGCCACCCGAACGGCTAGACATGCTACACGAGATGATGGCTAAGCTCAAGGAGCTAGAGGCGGAGATCCGCGGCACGGCTACCCCTGTTGCTAGGCAAGAGGAGCCCCATCCTGGGGCAGAGGAGGCCAGCACAGAGGATAGCACAGCGGCGAGGCCCAAGAAGCCGGCTAGGGACCCGCCGACGGTCCAAGAGTCCAAGGCTAAGAACAAGCTGCGGCAGGGGAGTGCAGCGGATAAAGAAGAAACGGCTACCACCCTGCCGTTCTCGGCTGGGCTAGACCCGGCCCAGGTCGTCAACCCGGGCCCGGGGCTACAGCAGGCTAGGGCAGCCGCGGCAGAGACCACGGCTACACCGCTAAGGGCGAGTACAGAGTACCCTGCCCAGGGCGAGAGCTTGAAGCAGTTTTTGGCTAGATGCATGCAGGGCTACCGTGGCCCGCCTGCGGACGTCCCGGCCTATGTGGCTAGGATGGAGGAGGTCTTCCGGATAGGCACCTTTCAGGACGGCCCGGATAGCAACCAGGATACACAGCAGCAGCGGCGGCCA